CCTGAAGACATTACAATCACTTAAGTTATACAGCTTATTTTAGGCAGGCTGAATAACTCTCTTAATTATATAAATGAAGAAAATTAATGACTTACTATTAAAATAAAACACAGCTACATGTGGGGGCATCACCTTAACCTAGCACTTGGGAGGGTATGGCAGGGATATCATAAATCCAAGGCCAACCTGGGATACCCAGTGAGTTTAAGGCCCGCCTGGGCTATACAGTGAACCTTGTCTCAAAAAAATCAGTCAATCAATCAATCAGTCACACACTGATGATATTGAAAGGGACACGTTCTATATCTTGAAAACTAGTTTTTCGTCTGGCTTCTGAATGTCTAGTGGTAAAAGTAACACTTTTGATACTTAATTATAAGGAGTTCATGAGACACATGTAGCTTTTTGTTTTTTGAAGAACTTAGTTTTAACATTTTTTTTGTCTTTTTGAGACAGGGTCTCGCTATGCAGTTCAGGTTGGCCTTGAGCTCACTTTGTAGCCCAGGCCGGCCTCGAACTCGCAATGATCCTCCTGCCTCAGCCTCCCGAGTGCTGGGATTACAGGTGTGTGCCACCACACCTGGATTAGTTTTAACATTATGTGGCTCAGTGTGTTTACTGTGGTAATCATAGCTGAAGTCTATAGAACACAGTATATTTAGCACAGATTATCATAGCTCAGCAGTTTCCATCTACCATAGTTTTCATAGTTTGCCCAGAATGATTAGTCAACAGAAAAGTGTTGAATTGGAGCTGATTCGTTTCATTACTCTCTAAGCATAGTATCTCTAGTTTATACAACATTAGAAGGAGCATTATTTAGATCAGGGGCTGACAAACTTTTTGTGCAAAGCTCCAGCTGGTAAGTTCCTTGGACGTTATAGGCCACCCAGTGTCCCAGACACTCAGCTCTGCTGTCATAGCCATAGATGTTGTGCAGGTGAGTGGGTCCGAGTCTGCCCAGTAAGACTTTGTAAGAACGGAGGAGGCAGGCTGTGGGTAAGAGTTCACTGACCCCAATTTAGGTTGTAAAAATGTACAGGCTCAAAATGTACATGAGCATTTAGCCTTGACTCTCATTTTTCCCTACAGGCAGAAGACTGACCTTTGAAAATATGTATTGGGGAGATAGTCACGTCCTGCTGAATACCTTGTGCTGGTGCTGCCATCGAAAAATCTGGTTACATTCTGGGGAGGCTTGTAGGACGGAACCTCCTCAGTCCTGAAATGCACATCCGGCCTGAGCAGGCCCACCATGAATAGATACACAACGATCAAGCAGCTTGGGGATGGGACCTACGGTTCTGTCCTGCTAGGAAGAAGCATCGAGTCTGGGGAACTGATTGCTATTAAAAAGTAGGTGTTATGCTTTGGCCTGTTGAATTCTTCTGCTGTACATGGTGAAGATAGTTTCAACTCCACCTGCTCCATCGCCTGTTTTTTGAGATGTCCCTCAAGGGGAGTGGATGGGAGTGTGGAGAAGAAGCTGGGGTTCTGGGCTTCTGCAGGGCTCATGTTAGTGGTCATGAAATAGTCCTGTGTTAGGCTTTCTGCTTCACAAATCGCACAACTGCTTTTCTTGTGTTTTCTTGTCTTGTGAGGCAGTGACGAGTAGGCTCATGACTGTCATTTCACAGGAAATTTAGCTCTGAGAGCTAAATTCGGTCCCTCAAATGTGGAGTGGTCTGATGATTTGTGTCTTGTCCCCCTGCATCCTTGATCTTCACATCTGGAGCATAACCCGTGGCGGTGGTTATGTGCTGCCATGTAACAGTCTATTCCAAGGCTTGCTGCTTGTCCTCCGTCAGTTTGTGTGGGTGAGCATAGCATAGCTGAGCTCTGATTCAAGGTTTGGTTCAAGGTCTCTCGTGGGTGCAGTCACGGTGTCCGCCAGGCGGCATCCCACTGAAGGCCAAGCTGGGAAGCGTCCGCCTCTGAGCTCACACGTGTGAATGCAGGCAGCCTGGGAACCTTGTGCGCTGCTGTGACAAGGATCTCGGATTCCTGCTGGCTTTTGGCCGCCCCTCGTTTCTTGCCATGTGAACCTCTCCAAAGAGCAGCACATGACCCGGCAACTTGCTTCGTCAAGATGTAGACGATAAGAAAGCGACACGAGGGTCGCCAAGACAGAAGTCGTGTCTTTTTTGCTTTTGTAAATTACGGTGGTACCTTGGTTCATGAGCTTGATTCCTTCCACGATTCTGGTCACAAACCAAACTGGATGAGAACTGAATCAAATTTCCCCATTAGGTCCATATGGAACCTAACCATTGAATTTGACGGTTCTTGTCCAATTTGGTTTGTGACCAAAATCATGGAAGGAATTGAGTTCATGAACCAAGATACCACTGTAATCTCCACAGTGACATCCACTGTATTTTACTGGTTAGAAGCAAGGAGACAGATCGATAGATAGATCGATAGATAGATAGATCAATCGATCGATCGATTGATCGATTGATAGATCAATAGATTGATAGATCGATAGATTGATAGATAGATAGAGAGAGAGAGAGAGAGATAAGAGGTGGGTGAATACCAGGAAGGAGGTGGCTGGGCACCACCTGAGGGTCGTCCTGCTTTTCCCATCCATGGCCACTTGCCTCCTTAGCGTCTCCCTTTGGATGCCATGCAAATATTTCAGACTCATCATGTTCAAAACTGACCTCATATTCAGCATACTCTCCTCTCTCACCCCACACTTGTTCCTCTTCTCTTGATAAACGACACCACCGTTGCTTTAAAACCTGAGCGTCCTCTTTTCTTGCTTCCTCCACATCCCTCCCATTGGTTGCCTGGTCCTGTTAACTCTGCCGAACCTTTGTCAGATCTTCCTTCTTCTCTGTTCTCTGTACAGCCTCCCATTCAGCCCAGTACCTTCTCCCACCTGGCCCATGGGTCTTCTGCAGGTCTCCTAGCTCTGCTCATTCCCTGCTCGTTCCATACTGAGGAGATCATTTGAAACACACAGTCTGATGGACTAAAACTGTTTGTGTCAAATGTTCTTTCTTTCATTTTATGGAAAAAAGATAAAATTTCATAAAGTAATAGGAGAATAACAATAGTTAATACGTTACATGCTGTTATCTTTAAGGTAGTTGCTCAGGGTACAAGATATGGGCATATAGATTTCTCTAGTCGATATTGGCACAAACTTTATTTTTAGTGATCTAAGAGACACTAACAGTGTAACTGACTTGCACTTTTTCCCTTTTCCCTGCTGTCCTTTCCCTTCCCCCATCATAGTTCCTTTTCCCTTTCAAACAGTTTCTTCCCCTCCACAATGTCTAGTGTATATTTTAGACCTTATTTACTCTTTCAAATTCTCACACCAAGGGACAATCCGATGCTTACACGTGTGAGTCTGATTTAGTTCACTTCTGAGCATGGTCTCCAGTTGCATCTGTTTACCTATAAAGTCTCGAGTTCCCCTTCCTTGCGGCTGAGTAGTACTGCACCGACATTCTTTGTGTCCCCCCTGGCTTCAGCGCCCCCAGCAGGCCCCAGCCCCAGTTGCCCACGTTGGTGTTGGCTGGGTCCTGTCCTCTTTGCTGTGTTTCCTACTTCTTTATTTTCTGTCTCCCTACTCTTTGCCCCGGCTTCCTGGAGTCACTTCCCAAGTCAGTCCGCCTTGCCGTGTACTTGTTCTGCTTTGTTTGGTCTAACCCAAGAGCGCTCTCGGTGTCTTCCTGTTAGATTCAGGGTTACGCCCCACATGAGACCCACAAATTGCTGCATCATTTGGCTCCTCTTGTTTTCCTCAGCCTTGTCCCCTGTCACTGCGTCCTTGCCTGTTGGCTTCGGTCTTGCATCCTTTCGCTTCCTGAGCTCAGGTCCTGCAGCAGTACTCCCTCCTGTGCCTCTGACGGAGCTGAATTCCTCGCGTCCTCCAGGGCTGGGTTGGAACAGCTCGTTAGGGGAGTGTTCCCGCGTGAACCAGACTGGATGAGGCCCGCTTGGGTCCGTTCTCACATTTGCCCTGCGTCTTTCCTGTGTGGCGTCAGCCCAGGAAGATTAGTGTCTACGCTCCTACCCTGGCGTCTGCTCCTTGAGGGATGCTGTCATTGACTTGCCATCGTCGCGCCAGTGCTTGGCAAAGCACCTGCCCTAGGAGGGGGCTGAGGGACTTTCCGAGCGTGAATAAAGGAAGCGGTCGCTCAGCCAGGAAGCACCGCGGCAAGGGCAGAGTGTCAGGCTGGAGACGTAGAAGGTGGTCTGTCAGTGACCAGCTTGAGACCCGGGGAGAGTCGCACACCTTTCCTGTGCTTTAGTTTCTTACCTGGCCATCTGTTTGAGAAGGCAGCGCGGAAATGAACGAGTGTATTGTGTTCCCATAAAGCCTCATTTCTAGCAACTGAAATTTTGATTTCATATAATTTTCACACATGATGCAGTGTTATTCATCTTTTGATTTGTTTTCCTCAGGTTAAAACACAAATACCATCTCTAACTCACTGGCTGTGTAAAAGTAGATGATAGGGTGTATTTCGCCCGTGGGGTGGAGCCTGCCAAGCTCTGTTCTGGAGCAGGTGCAGAGTGTGCTGTTCAGTAGAGTGGTACCATATGTGGCTTCTAGATTTAAATTGAAGTAAGACTAAAATTTCATTCCCTGTTGCATTATAGCCACATGTGGAGTGGCTCGCATGCCAGACAGCACAGAACATTTTCATTAACATAGGAAGTTCCTTTAGTCAGCTCTGTTCTAGACGGAATAAGCCTGAGAGACCTCCTTCCAGGGCAAATTAGCTCATTACTGGGAGAGAAGACAACAGTCCAGGCTTCTCGGACAGTACCACGCCAGCACTGCTGGGACATTGTGTGATTTAGGCATGATTGCAATGCCACGTTTTAAAATAAATGCTGTTTTGAGTGATATAATATTTGGTAGAAGTCAAAAATCACCTTCAAGCAGTATTGATTAGGACAGAATGAAAACATTAAAAAAATAAAGTTTGGCCTACTACTAGAAGTGAACATGCTATTTCTTTCTTCTCTTTTAGAATGAAAAGAAAGTTTTATTCCTGGGAGGAGTGCATGAACCTTCGTGAGGTTAAGGTATTTATTAACATACCAGGAGATGATTTCTGTTTTGTTGATTAAAATAGCTTTATGTATGGTTGGATTTATAGTTGATATAATCATTCCACTTGCAGTTTTTTACTAGTGCTACAAAGGTGAGCAGATGATATTCAGCTAGTAGTTAATGAAAGAAGATTATAATGTTACTGTATTAGTGAATATGTTATTAGAAAATTATCATTAATGCATTTTTGTATCAACATACATCAGTAAAATAGATTGTGTTTAGTGAATTACTGTTGCCTCCTAAGGTGACTTCCTATTTATACACAAGAATATCTGCTTGTGGAGTTTTTCCCTAAATACAGGAGCAATGCCCGTTCAGGTGCTTCTCAGGTCATTTGTTGTCTGCGAGGGAACCCTGTGACCGGGGTGCAGCTGTGTCAGGACCGCGTAGCGCAGAGCTTCCCCTTTACCAGGCGTTCTGGCTGGGTTACTGCTCCCTTTCTTGTTTCTCTCCCTCTTTTCATTCTGTTTTAATCTCATCTCTACTAACGCACACTGGCCACTTCGGTTCTGTCCGTATAATTCTCTTCTTGTGCACTGGAGTGGAGCTCCATCTGCTCCTCGTTCTCTCAAGCCCTGCTGAGTAGAATGGAAGCCATACCCTGACTCAAGGTTCCCAGACATGGAAGGGGCTTTCAGAGCTGGAGCAGGGACCTGCAGACGTTCTATTCAGATATTCCTCACTTATCGACCTAGTTCTGGTCCTGCAGTCAGGTTGTTACGTGCATTGGCCGTGGTAATGGTTGGGGGATGTATATAGTATGTGTGCTACAGTGTGTAGAGCGAAGACATGGTCAAAGGAGACGTCAACTTAATGGCTTTGCTTTCATTTGCATAACTCTTACATGCAGTACTGCAATGTATGGCAGAACATAAAGCTACAGTATAGTGCTATATAATACAGTAAAACCAGCAAAAGTTATAGTGCTGTATAAACAAGGTATACTATTACACAGAAGAAAGCTATTGAGGCTCTACAAGATGTACAGAACTGTACACACGTGGGCTGGGGATATAGCTCAGCAGCACAAGTGCCTGTCTTGCAAGCACAAGGTGCCAAGTTCGATTCCCAGTACAAAAAAAAGAAAGAACTGTACACACAAAAAAATACGAGCTCTAAGTCTGAATGGCAGGTAGTAAATGCAAAAGCACGCCTCAATTGTAAGTTTGAACAGTCTGAACAGGTAGGTTGTTAAAAGAAGAGTATTTGTTTTTGTTGTTGTTATTGTTTGAGGCAGGGTCTCACTATGTAGTTCAGGCTGGCCTTGAACTCACTATATAGTCCAGGCTGGCCTCAACTTTGCAGTGATCTTCCTGCCTCAGCCTCCTGAGTGCCGGGATTACATATATGCACCACCATGCTGGGCTGAATGAAGATAGGGATAGATAGGGCTAAGTAGTAAATACTTTAGACCTTGGGTTAAAAGCTCACTCTCAGGCATTATACAGGTATAAATGTGACAACAGTGAAAATAAATTTCCAAAAAATGTTAACTTACTCAGTTTGAAATGTGATACTATTACAACAAGAAGAACGAGATTCTTCGAAAGAGCTTAACACTTAACTTCATTAGAGCTCAAATCAGTGTTCCCTGTCATGAAATTGGTTGCAAGTGTTCATCTGTAAAACTATTCTTAGCTCACGGCCAGATTTCACCCCGGGTCATCGTGTGCTGACCTCCTGCCGAGAGAATAGAAGCTGGAACATCCAAGAGCATCAGAAATAAGGAATGATTCAGGGACATTTTCTTAGAAACGCAGAGGCTTGAGAGGCATCCTTGACTTGGATACTGAGCCTTTGCTTTTATATACGACTCGCTGTGCATTCATTGTGATGGAAGAGCTTGCTGGGGCCTCCAGCTTAGAAAACCTGTAGGCGCACGGCATCTGAGGAAGCAGGCACCACGCTGGGAAGGATCAGCGGAGGAGCTGGTCCTCCAGCTGGTGACCGCCAAGACACTTCCCGCCCTTCCTGGCCTGCACAGACGCCACTTCAGCTGCCCCACATCTGCCCATGGTGACGTCACACAAACTACCACCCGGGACACAGCCGAGCGCTGATAGGAAGGGTGTGGAAGGAGACAGAAGGGCGGCCTCCTCCACAGTCCTTCATCCCGTCCTCCTCGCGAGGTTCTTTTCTGCCTGCTGACGTAAAAGGGACAGGAGAGGAAGGTTACTGAAGCACCATCGTTCCTCATGTGCTGCCTCCCGCTGACAGCGAAGGAAACGAAGAGAGCTCCTGCGCTTCACCACACGCACAACTGCAGCTTCTCCACTCGTCCCGTCTGTCCTCGTGTGCCCCCCGGGGAGCCTGCAGATCTTCACCCGGCGGCCCGCTGACAGAGGGTCCTTGCTCCTGCAATGTCGTGAGAGAAGGGGGACCCGGTGACATTTTCTCTGAAGTACTGCTTACATGGTGCTGTGGCCTCCGGGTTAGTGACCGTCAGCACTAGTACGCTTCCTGTATGTTGCCTGGTCTTTTCCTCTGCTGCCTTGTTCCTTTTGCTGGGCGTGGAGGTGCACACCAGTTAACCCAGCACCAGGAGACTAAGGCAGAAGGACCGCCCTCCGTTCACGGCCAGCCTGGGCTACCTAGTGAGTTCAAGGCGAAGCCTGAACTACGTAACGAGACCCTGGCTGAAAAGAAATTGTTTTGCTTTACTGTCTTAAAGTAAATGCTGATGTGTTTAGATCCTTGCTCCAGAAACGTCCCCTCCTTTTGTCTTTAATCTCTTGTTTCCGCTGGCTTCTTCTCTTCGGCCTGTAGTTGTGCCCGCCATCCTCCTCCAGCCCAGGAAAGCCCCGCCTCACTCTCTCCTCGGTCATCCACCGCCTCCCTGTCTTCACCTCCACGTCCACACTCGGTGCTGCTTCCTGCCCGCCGTTTGCTGTCAGCCTCACGGAGTCGGGCACCTCCCTCTGCGGCCCCATGGGAGCCAGGATTCAGTGGGTCTCCCCCGGCACCCAGTCTGCCTCTGCCCACTTCTGCAGCCCGTCTTGCAGATAAGCCTCCGTGTGAGCCGGACCGGTCTGACCCTCACCCTTGGCTGTTCAGGCATGGCCGCACTCCATTTCCACACCTTTCCCAGGCGGCCCCTCCTGAGGTCTCTTCCCTCCAGTGCTGCCCTAGATGAGGCTGGTCCCCAGGAGGCGCCCTTGCTGGCTGCTCGGCGCTGGCTGGTTGCTCCTTCCTGGAACATCTCTGATGCTTCTCGTTTCTGTCATTCTTCTGACACTTCATGTGGCTTTCCTTAATAAGTGCATGTTTAACTCCCGCATTTTGAGATTATGTCCTGTCTTCCCAAGCAGGTTGTTTTGCTCTTTAAAGTAGATGCTGTGTCTTATGCCCTGGGATATTCTTGGGGCCAATTACATTGTAGCTTTAATAGTTGAGAAATTGACCGGACAAGGTGTTGCATGACTATAATCCCAGCACCTCAGAGGCTCAGGCGGGAGGATCTCGAGTTCGAGGCCAGCCTGGCCCGTGTAGCAACATCAGTTCTCGAACAAATGAATGAACAAACAAACAAGAAGGTTGATCAGTCCCTAAGAAGGGCAGCATAATATCCAACTGGAACCTTATTCCATGAGGCCTGTCCCGAGTGGACCAATGGTGGGGTCTGTCTCTGACACAGTGACTTACCTCCACCCTCCCTTTCAAAACCTTTTCTAAGCCAAATAAGGTGACTCTTCCTAGAATCCATGAAATCTTTGATGCACAATGTATCTGTTTATGTTAAACAGATGTGGACTTTAATTTGCTCATCAGCCTGATTTAAAAACAGGAGCTGGGAGCCTCCCTTAGCCATAGGATAGGAATTTACCCTCAAAACAGACCTCAGGAGAAAAGCTGAAGGTACCTCAGGCCTCGTTTAGAATTCTCTTCCTGGAAAGCGGGAAAGCGGGCTTCTCTTCCTCAGAAAGAATTTACCTCGAGGCTCCTTGTGTGAGGAATCTTGGGCACTGCTGGTGAAGCCTTTTAAGAAAACAGGCAGAAAAGATGGCTGCAGTTGGGACAGCCGAGTGAATACTTACAGGTTAAGCAATGTTTATGTTTTTTAGTCATGGAGAACCAGGACTCCAACTAAAGGAAATGATCGGCCTTGGGGTATTCTGGAAGATCTGGCCTAAATAGTTGGCCAAAACCACCAAGAATCCTTGCCAGAGAGGCATCTTGGCAGGAACTTGGCCTGTGGGGAGGAGGCTCCAGAAGAGTCCACTCTGCTCTCCTTCACCGAACACATTTCCTTCTTCTTTCCCCAGCTGCTTGATGTAACTTCATCGTGTGCCGTGTTCCCAAGCCTGATCCCTTGGCTACCCTATTACCCAGCAGCCTTCCAGATCTGGATGTTCGTTTTAACACTTCCATCTTTAAGTATTTTGTTCCTTTTATAAAAGAGTTGGTCTTTCTAATGAAGTTCAAAGGTAAAGGGAGCTTTACAGTTGCTCCCTGTGAGACCTCCTGCTCTGTGAGGAAACAGCCTTTGAATTGAAGGGTTTGTGCTTGGCAGCCTCCGCAAAGGAGGCAGCCCGTCAGGTTTTGATCATCCAGGAAGCAGCCATGAGCTTTGTCTCTGGATGCTCTACATGAGCGGGATTGCTGCTCACCAAGGCAGTTTTCATTCCCCACAGCGGAGCTAAGGCTGCAGAGAGAAAGTAGTGCGTGTACACAGGACCGTGGCTACAGGTGCTCACCTCACCTGTGAGGACCAGCAGACAGAGGTCAGGTGCTGATTTCCGCCCTGCCCTCTAATTCCTCATCTGCTGCCTTTTTTTTTTTTAACCTTTATTGTTCTTGGAGCCAGACCATTTTCTTTTTTTTTTTTTTTGGTTTTTCTCCGGTACCGGGAACCGAACTCATAACCTTGCGCTTGCCAAGCAGGCGCTTTTGCCGCTGAGCTAAATCCCCAGCCCCAGCCAGACCATTTTCTTCCATCTCACTGCAGGGTCTTCACAGTAAGCTGTCACATTTTCTTTGTCCGTGATTAACCACTCACCAGTCCAGTTATTTAAATACTGGATGACCAAAATTTCATTTTCATTAATTTTTATAATACAATAGGACGTATAAAAATGACAGTTTTATCAAATTTATTCAGTAATTTTTCTGCGTACGGTATATCTTAAAACATTCAATACATAACATGATGTAACAATCTGGATAGTAGGGTCTAGTCTCTTTCCAAATTCTTTATGTATCATTATCTTTCTTTGAACAACATACTTGATACTATCTTGTTAGCCTTTCCCTTTTTTAATTTTTTTCGTGTTTTTCTGGTACCGGGAATCAAACTCATGACCTTGCGCTTGCCAGGCAGGTGCTGTGCCACTAAGCTAAATCCCCAGTCCCTCCCTTATTTTTTTTGTGGGTGCCATAATTTCAATGAAATCTCTACCCACTAAACATAATGGTGAAGACATCAATGCTATACATCTGATTGGCATTTCATTATCCCATATTTTGCAGTTACTTGGTCTTTTAACCCTACTCTAAAGTGTAAATGACATTTTGAACCCCTGTGTTTTGAATAAATAACAAATGAGTTCCATATTTTTGGTCCAGAAGGTGCATAAATATTTTACATTAATATTTTTCCTTGCTCTTTGAGTATAGGCTCTCTAGATTGTGGGCCACTCTGTCAACACCACCCACAGAATTACTGTAATCGTCGACCACTACTGTAACTTCTTTAGTTTCATTTCTTTTTTTAAGTTCTATCATTTCTGTATTACGAATAGTTGACAATAAGGAAATGTCTTTTCTTACCTTTCCATTTTATAACGCAGACTTTTCCTCTCTGCTATTCTAACATTTCTTCCTTTTTCAGTTTTTTCTTTTGCAGATCTTTTGGGACTTTCTCTTGGCGCTTTCTCAGTTTTCCAAACATATCTGTTTTATAAAAGAATATCACTGAGTCTGGAGAAGTATAAAAACTCTATCTAATGTACTTACACAAGAGTTTGTACAGATTATAGCACAAAATTATAGGTTACTTTTCACAAATACAGTAAACATTAATTAGTAAAACAAAATAACCAGAACTTATTATTAGATTTCACTAGAAAGAAATATCAAGGGCAAATACAACAGCCTGAGTACAAAGGTATGCAAAATATAGTTGACATAAAATAAACAGATGTAAGAGTGTATCTCATGCAAACAAAACTCGACTAGTTGACAAGACACCTGCCTGAGCAGTGCTCAGGATGGTCAGTATGTAAGCAAACACGTGCCTGGGCGATGCTTGGCGTAAACTTCTGAGTGGTTAAAACTCGCATTGTAAGGACTGTTCTGTGTCTCACGCAGAGATGATTCAGATATAAGTCAAGAGAATCGGGCTATCAGCCTCACTCTGTTTGATCAATGTCCTACTTAAAGTGTCTACAGACTATTCACTCATGTTCTCATCCCAAAGCAGCTGTTTTCTCCAGGGCCAGAAAATCTAAAGCCTCGGGTTCTTTTATTCTGTTTTGGCCACTTCCGCAGGCTGAATGAATTCCATAGTCTGGAGGGGGTGAGCCTAAAATAGCCTTGCCCCACTGCTAAGTGCTGGGCATGGCCGGAAATACCAGCAATGGGTCAGATACTTACCTCTGGCCAGTTCATCAAACATTGTTTCTAGGGGCTGGGGATTTAGCTCAGCGGCACAGCGCCTGCCTGGCAAGCACAAGGTCATGAGTTCAATTCCCGGTACCAGAGAAATACCAAAAAAAAAAAAAAAAAATTGTTTCTAGGGGAAGTTACTATTGATTTCAGAAAAATACTCCATGTAAAACTGTCAGTAAAATATAACTTATGGCATGTCCTAAACTTAGACGTTTTTTCCTAAGTTTAACCAGAATTACTTTCTTTTTTCAACAACAGATTTTCTCTGATTTTTTTCCCCTCACCTTTCAGTCTTTAAAGAAGCTCAACCATGCCAATGTAGTAAAATTAAAAGAAGTCATCAGGGAAAATGATCATCTTTATTTTATCTTCGAGTACATGAAGGAAAATCTCTACCAGCTCATTAAAGAAAGGTATGTTTTGGACATCTGGTTCTTAAAAATAAATATTACAAAGTGGATGTGGGGTTTTTTTCCTGCTTTTTTTAGTTGAAGTCTCCCAGTTCTTTCTCTGATTTTTTTTTTTGTTTTTTTGTTTTTTTTTTTTTTTTGGTTTTTTTCCGGTACTGGGAACCGAACTCACGACATTGCACTTGCTAGGCGGGTGCTGTGCCGCTGAGCTAAACCCCCAGCCCCTTTCTCTGATTATTTAACGGTCATGCTACCTGGCTCTAATGCTGGAAGCTGCCTGCCAGAAGAGGGCCCAGCCCACACTGCTGTGGGAGGCATGTGCTAGCCTCAGGAAGCCGCTTTCTGTGTAGTGGGTTTCCTGTTTTAAAGTTATTCACCCAGAGGCTCGAAGGTTAAGGGACACTGTCCTCATCTCTGTTCCCATGAGGACAGGTGGGCAGAATGGCCACAAGTCAGGTGTCAGGTGCACCCCGCTGCATTTATATTGAAATCTCCATTGAAAACTTCTAGGCTAATTTTAGTTCTGTCTTGCTGCAGTACTCAAGTACTTGCATGCTGGAAAGAAGAGACCCAAAAGAAACTTCCCTGCCACGGTGATTTTGAATCCTGAGATTGAGCCGTGGGCAGACTCGGGTTCACTCTCTGCTGGCAAAATGAATGCCTCTTGTGAGTGCCTCTGAGTGAACAAATACTGTCTTCATTGTCAGTACCAGCTGGGAATCCGTGGACTTTGCGCAACCAGGGACAAATGCTAACATCATCCACTGTATCTCATGAAGGCTTCATCCAAATGAAGATATTCATTCAGATATTCCCCACTGAAGCTTTACAGAGTTTTAGCTTCTATCTCAGAGATATTTATATGCTGCTAGAGGGATTTTTTTCTCATTATGAAATGTTTAATCTTTTCTTTATAATGTAACTGAATATATTTTGGTGTTTTTAAGTTAGCTCCCTATATGGACAATTGATTGTTTTCTTGGGTATTTATTATCAAAGGATCTGGGCAAAAATTAATGTGAGAAGTCTGAGGATGTAGCTCAGTGGTAAAGTGCTTGCCTAGCATGTACGAGGTCCTGGGTTCAATCCCCAGTACCACCACCACAACAAAAATCAGTGTAAGAACATATGTTTTCTTAATTTCCAATTATGTAATCAAAAGAACATGAACACAGGATTCCTTTTAATACCTAAACCCAGATTTATAACTTTGTTTTCTTTTGTCCTGTACAGAAATAAGTTGTTTCCAGAGTCTGCTATCAGGAATATCATGTATCAGATCTTGCAGGGACTGGCATTTATCCACAAACACGGTAGGTGGTTTGAAGTGTTCTACTTTTGAGTAGCAGTAACTGTTGCCATCAAGCAGAAGATGTAGAAAGTATTGATGTCTTTTGTAATTAACTCCCAGAAATGGGTGAAAAGTTGAGGGGGTGATAACGGATTTTGGAATATAGTGTCTTTTGGAATTTGATTTCTGAGTTTTCTTCCTTTATTGTGTCCTGTGTTTTTTACTCTTTAACCTTTAACATAAAGCTTTAGTTCTAGATCTGAGCGTTATTCTTCACTATTAACTGTGGTAGTAATGAGAAAATGAAGATAACTGTGAGACGTTGCATGTATTATATTTAATCTACTAATATCCCTTCGCTGTGGCTTCTCATTTTCTTAGAGTATATTTCAATATGCTTCAAAGGGTTTAAAAATGATCTAACAAAAATTATATAGTACAAGAAGATAAAGTCAATTAAAAATTAGACGAATGAAAAAGAGACAAAAGCTAAATGGGGTGTGGATGGCTAACCCCATGGGTGAGGATAATCCTTAGCATTCACACTCGCAAGTTTTATTTTAGCAGAAAGAGCACAGATTTGTTTCTGGGCTTGTTGTCATACAACAGAAAATGTGAAATATGACCAAAGAGCACATGGGGTGTCCCTGAGGTAACAACAGACTAGAAGTATGTGAAGACAGAGAAATTTCCCTCTGGGAGTATGTCCCATCATATTCCCTTTAGATGGGACCGTATGGGACCGTGCCTTTAAGGTGGACTTAGGAGCAGGTTACGCAGGGCAGCTGGGTGCATGTCCATCAGTATAGGCTAGGTATTTCATCTGATCACAGAAAATGCTTCTACTAGGGGCTGGTGCGATTCCCTCCAGAGACAACCTGGCTAGTCCATAGAGAAACATACACTATCCAGACTTCTTAGCTGCACTTCTGAAAAGTTTGAAGAAATGAATGTGAGATTCTGTCTCCGGTTACTACTGGAGCTTTGCTGGTCTTTGTCACTAGCTGGACGAAGACCCAGACAGGACGGGATTAATAATCTTCTGTGAGCCCAGGGCAGCCAGATGGACACCGCTGTGAGTGATGTCAGAAGCCCTCGGGGTCACGTGAGGTCACTTTAGCCCAGAGACAGAGGGGCACAGTGGCTGATACTGCACAGTCCCCACTCAGCTGGGGCATCACCCTGGCAAACGCCTTTCCCCAAGGCGTCTCACTGCTCAGCAGGACACCGTGCCAAAACCCCCGACAGTGCATTCAGTTCAGGCCGGATGTGCAGCTCAGGCCTCTACTAGAGAAGTCTGGGGTTGCACAAAGAGGCGCAGTGACTGTGGGACTGACACCAGCTTGCTCTTCCTGCCCAAGCAGCCCCTGGCAGTTAGAGATTAAATAAAACACCACACAGGCTCTCTGTGCAAAAGCTTGTAGCTCGGGCTCATGCTGAGTGACTGGTAACAGGCAAGACTGATTCGAGTTGGGAGCCAGTTCCAAGAGAAGCGTCATCTCGGAGGGCCTGACATTGCAGCCCCAGGGCTTCAGTCTTTGCTCAAACCAACTCACAAGAGAGAGGATGAATTTGAGGGACACTAAAACTTCCAGTACGGTGTCTTACAAACAAACAGGAGAAGGTCATTTTCTAGAGTTATGAGCTCAAGAAAAAGAAACAATAAAAATCAAAAGGATTTTCAAAACAGGTAAGTCGACCAGCACATTTTCAGGTAGGGAAGAATCAGTGTTTGAGTTATTGGGGTTATTTGCTCAGGGCTGGAAACTGAGTGGACCTAAGGAAAGGTCCTTATCCTAAGAAAAGGTCCTTACCCTAAAAATGGTCTGTATCCTAAGAAGAAGCCCTTATCCTAAAGAAAGGTCCGTATCCTTTGGCTTTCTCTTCTTGTCTTTTCTGCCACTTTTCATGAGACTCACGCACTGGTTTCTAGGAAGAACGTGTAGCCTTTTGTCCAGAGCTCTACCTAATCGTGTGTGTGTATGTGTGTGTGTTATGTGTGTGTGTGTGCATGCATGTGTGTGTGGACATCCACAGACCATACATCTGCACCACATGTATGTATATCTACACATCTATTCATTTCTCCCACACATACACAGGCCACCTGGATGCATACGCACACATACTGTAGTCAGTAATTTGACATCCTTCTACGCCTATGTTAGCTCTTTGGAACTTGGCCCTGTCATCTCCCTGTGTGCCTTGAACATGGGCGTTGTGTGTGGAGACAGGACTAAGCAAGCCTGTTTATAAGACCTCTGCTCGCATAGCCTCGCTGCTGTTACCTTTGCCAGTGGTGATGACAGCTTCCCCTAGCAATTAGTTTGCGGCAATGCGGGCCCAGTTCTAGTCTGAGCTTAGTAATACTTCATCTGTTACCTTGTTTATTTCCTGGCCAGCTCCTCAGGTTGAAAGAACAAATGGTATCTATTCCTAATGGGAAACTGCAATTCAGAGATGTTTTAAAAACTTGCCAAAGGCCCTGCTGCAGTAGAGGGGAGATTAATTAGATAGTTTGTACCTATGTGCCACACTTCATTAGAAAAATCTGTTCTCAAAGAGAACAAGATGAAGAAAATCATAGGAAGTGTAAGTAGGTTGGATACACTTTTGTCCATTTTTACAGATAAATGACTAAGGGCAAATATACCTCTGTATTGTTCATTTTCTCCTGTAACGGAAAGAAAATGTAAAGCATTCTAAAGCATTCACTGAGATGCCTCGAGTTTCAGGCTCCACGTTGGTAGCCTGTGTGACTGTGAGAAGGTACATCCTGGCCCTGGGGAGTGGACTCCTCTGAGAGGGAAGCACAGGGCCGCGGCTGGTTGCTATGGCCGTGTCTCATGTCACGGAGCATTCCCCACGGGGAGTGAACACACGGCTCTACGAGGTACTGACAGAACAATTCCAAGCAGACGTGCTCTGTAGGACCTAGAGGCAGACTGCTTCATCGTGGACCTCAGACCTTTCCACAGAGCCCCACATCTCCTTTACCTACGCAGGTAACAGACATGCATTAGGTGATTTGGAGGACAGTGACTTGCCCCAGAAGTGGGTCTGCTCCTGTTCTCTCCACTGTACTGCTGTAACTGACCTTGAGACAGTCCTTTGCCTTGCTGTGCATGACTGTTCCCGTGACCTTTTTGAGAACAACATTGTAGGTTTGAATTCAGTATTGTCTGAAATCACAGCTTCTACAGCAGGAAGCTGTGTTACATACATGCATAGTGCTGCGATATTCTCTAGTCGTTTCTGATCTTCCCATCAGATCCATCCACAACAGAGTGCGGTGGAGGTCAGAAAGCGTTTCTCATGGTTTGCTATTTTTCTTGTCCAGTCATTATTAGCAAAAAAAATCAGCACAACCACAGTGTAAGGAAAAAGTCCTTCAGTTATTCAGCTGGCCCCCGGTACCCTAGACGGCAGCTAAAGGCTGTTCGTGTCTTCTGGAAGCCAAGTAGCTTTGAGGAGGAGGGTTCCTGCACCAGGCTGGAGTCTGTGCGTGACCCGCAGTAAGGGTTTGCGTTGTTGGAAGTGGGCCCAAGGTTCCGGCACAGCGCACATGTCAGCAGGACCTAGACGTGGCAGTGAGTCAGATCGAGTTGCAGGACCATCTCCTGGAAGCTGGGTGTCACTCACCTCTCAAGCCTTCATCTGCAGAACAGCGCTGTCTGCCTGTCCCCTTTGATATGTTGTTGGGAGGGTAAAATCAGAGAATTTTCTACACGTAGTACCAAGGATGCCCGGCTCATCTGGGTGCCAGTGTGCCGGCACTGCTCTGAAGGCTTTACAAATCCAAAATATTGAATCCTGCGAAATAACTCCATGTGGTAGATGCAATTATTTCTACCATTTTACAGGTGGGGAGGACAAAGGCACAAAGCATTAAGTGATTTTTCAGCTGGTGAGTAACAACTGGGATCTGAAACCAAGTAGCCTGGCTGGCCTGCACATTTTACCCACTAAGCGGCCTTGCCTTTCCTGTGTGGGAAACAGTAATGTTTGACAGCATAGCAGAGAAAACCCTTCTCAACTGATTGGTGCGGAGTCCATCAGTCGTTTTTAAAGAATCTGTTTGTAATTAATTTTGTCCTTGCTACTTACCCTCCAATCGTTGTAGGCCCTGAAGGGAAGCTGCAGGGAGGAACGGGCATGTCTTCATTAGTCTTCTTGTTGCTGAGACAAAATACCAGTGCCCAAGGTTGAGGGAGGAAAGGTTCAGTGTAGCTCACAGTTTGTAGAGGTTTCAGTCCTAGTTGGCTGGCTCCTGTGCAAGGTAGAATGGCAGAGGGCATCACAGAGGAGAAACACTTCATGGTGGGCAGAAGGCAGGAAGGCAGCAAGCAGTGAAGTGGAGAAGAAGCAAGCAGCAAGTGACCAGTGACCCCAGCGGTCCTCTTTCTGTCCCTTGTATTCTATGCAGCTACACACCCTTAGGGCAGGTAGCACTCGCACCCAGGGACGGCCTTCCCATTGTCCACTCCCAGAACTGTGCCAGACCAATCAGTGGACAGCTTCATTATCACACACCCCAAATTCCAGCAACACACACTTAATCACACACTCAGGACCCAGCTACCTCTGAAAGCCCCACCGTGACGGCATGAGGCTTTGCAGGGACATCTAGACACGGCCGTAACAAGGCAGGACTGCAGTCTTCCTCCTCTCAGTGCGTGTGTTCTCTGTGGAAGCAGGATTGCAGAGGCGTTAGCCGCAAGGGAAAGGTGCCCTTGGCTGCCCGGCAGGCGGTTGGTGTTCACAGGCGCATGACTCAGGGCGGATGCAGAGTACAAGGTCAGCACCACAAGAATGATGCCTGTATCAGGCGGGAGTCAGTGTCGTGGGAGGAACTGAAGAGGGAAAAGATGTGGGTTTGTTGAGCTGACTGTGATGGACGGTGCCGGAGGGAGCTGCCGTGGTGGAGGAGGGCAGGAGGCTGCAGGAGAGATGAGCTGCTATAAAAGAATGCCACGTAAGTTTGGAAATACCACGAACCTTGAGCTGAAGAAAGTGGGGTCC